AGTTACTCATCCCGCCAGGTGCAGCCCCTCAGCTTAACCACAGCAGTGCCAGTGATGTATTATAATGACATGTTAATCATTTGTTTCACGGCGTTGCTAATTAAGCATTTATTTATATTGCACATACGCTATTCTTTTTTTACACGCTGTCTATATAACTACAACCACGTCAAACTTCTGCAAAGCCACTCTTGATTGTCTCAATCCGAGGCCATCTTAGGCTTCACCTCATAGACAAAGTCCTCAGCGGGCGTCAGGTGATCCATAATAGACCGCTTGCTAGACTTCTGGATGTACGGTTGGGGTCCCTCGTAGTCACCCTTGAAAGATAGACTGCCAGGTCCCTCGTAGGCTTTGACAGTACTCAGAACCTTCTTGTCAAATCCAACGACATCACCACTGATAGTGTTGTTGGCGTTGGCAGTCGACCCGTTCACACATTGACCGTCTCCCCATGCAGCCTGCGCCGTAGTATTCCAGATCGCAACCGGATCGACAATCATGTCCGCCGTGTAAAATAGACGGCAGTTTGATGCCTCGTACTTGAACTGTTCCGGATAACCGTTGAAGTCGTCGCGTGCGTACGCGTTACGGTAGTTGAAGGATCCAGCCTCTGCGAGAGCGGGCAATAATGGTGGCTCTTCGATACTGGGAAGCATATCGAAGGCAGCCTCGAGGTACTCTGTAAAATTACTCTGAGAAGCGTTGAGGCCGACCTGCGCAACGAACTGCTGCAGGTTGACGAAGTTGAGCACTTGAGCGCCCTCTACACCACCAATAACCTGCATTGCCGACTCCATGGGGCGGCCGCCAAGGGTGATGGACCGGACTCCCTGCTCGCGAACCAGCAGGCCAGTGAAGATTGTGCAGGTCGAAGCGCATTGGCCATCTGTGATGACGACAATATTTTCGGGATCAAATACTTGCTCCTCCGTGCTGAAGTCGAATTCTTGGCTGAGATTGTATCTCAGGAGGTGGGTCACATTTTGTTCTCCGATGAATTGCGGTCCATAAAGGTCAGCCCAAGAATCGTATGCCTCATGATTCTCGTTGTAGACAGAGGTGACTGCGTCGAAAAGAATCTCTGGGGCAACCTTCTCAGCTGTGATACCGAGGGCATCCAGGGCGGCGTTGGCGCGAAGACGGTTTCCGTCCCAAATATCGGCTTTGGGAAACAGTTGGTTGTAGAGCTGATATCCGGCAAAGATGAGACCACCGGGGTTCGCTTGCATGTCGATGATCAACTTTGTCTTGCCAGCGTCCTTGGCCTTTTGCAAGAACTCCGACACCACTGACTCGGCCTCAAGAGTCTCAAAAGTACCGTTGATCTTTGTCTCGGGGATTGTCCACGGAGAAAAGGCGGGGATGGAAAGCACGGCAATGTCTTCGTATTCACTGCCATTCATGAAGTATCCAGAGATCCAGTCGTGAGCGTGCTTGACAATGGGTACAGGGTAGCCTCTCAGCTGGGTGCTTGTCGGCGTCGCTGATGACGTAGACGACGCTGTAGAGCTCAACGAGGATGACGAGGTTGGGGTCGCTGTGACAGGCAGCTCAAAGTATTCGTGGATCACCCCAGCAGAGCCGATATAGTCGACAACCTCCACCGAGATCGAGGCAACAAGAGTATCGTTGAAGGTCGTGCCGTTGGTGAATTTGATCACCTGGACGTCGGGGGACTGGCCAGGAAACCTGGGGACGAATCCATCCCCTGATCCCATTGCGAACTGCGCGGGGTTGACGAACAACGAGTTGTACTGGGCATCGGGATCTTGACTAAGCGCGCGCCATGCCTGCGCCTCGAGGAATTCCACAATTGGGACATCATCGATGCTTTCGATGTCGTACACATCAGTGTCATTAGCGACAAATTGCTCAAAGTCACTCCGAAGGTAGACTCTAGGAAGAGCAGTGGCGTTGTCGGCCACAGACACCACGGATGAAAGGCTGCCGAACTGGAAAACGTCTAGGATAGCGGGTTTGTATATGAAATGACCATCTGAGGCTTGGATGAACTACTTGGATATTAGCACCTCTCACACATCCAGCAGAGGCAAGTGATGTGAACGTACCAAGTAAGACAGCTCGAGCGCAAAATCCACTTGACTGTCATATTCATCGTTGGAGAGCTTCGCTCGGATCTGGCCGAATCCAGACAAGACATCCACACCCGGGATGAGATAGAAGTCAGGAGGGGCCGCGAGGGGTTCCAGTGTACTTTGGAAATTAATGTAGGGTTCCAGATAGTTGAGGAGGCCCATATCGTTTTCCTTGTCCACTGGAACCGACTTGAGACAGTTGTAGGCTATGGACGGAAGCACAAAAGCCCTTGTCGCCTCGGGCTCCGCCGACATGAATGCTTCAGCCCGTGATTTTGCAATGGCACAAGGCGTATCCTCTGTGGAATGCGGCTGCGGCGCCGTCGTTGTGGCGTGGTGGTCGTTGGCAACTGTGGTACTGACAGCTGCTGCGGCAGCGGTGCCAGAAAGGCTCAGGGCCCAGATAAGTGAACGCATGATGGGTGTCGCAAGCCAGTGTCTGGGCTTCAATATGAGAAATGTTTATCAACAAAAAGTCAAAGAACTAAGACGGTGGTAATTGTTGAGGTTATTGTTAATTATCCAGACTGAGAGAGGATTTCCTTCGGACCTTATATACAGACTGTCAATCGGCCGAGAAGTGTCCCACTCCACGAATTCGGCGCTCTGCTTGGATTGACTCCACACCTATACACGCTTGGGGAACAAAACCGACACAGAGAGCCTGGCATCCTGCGCGAGATGGGCATTCGGGGTTTCATCGCACAAAGGACTGAATTCGGGAAAGCGTGGCACGAGTCTGCGCTACTGGCTTTAGCACGCAGACGGCGTTGCCGTTGATGTTCATGAAGGGCCCACCACGACATCATAAGCCCTAGCAGACAAACAGCATCAGCACTTGAAATACCGATGGGGTCTTTTTGAATCCTTCAAAGGATGGCGCGGAGGTTATTTCGGTAAGCACATTCAGGGCGCAGAGCTTATGTCGGCAAGAACCCGCCCGAAGGCAATGACAGAAGAATGCTCTCCTAGGCCCAATGCACGAAATGGACAGGCTCGTGGGTTGCGAGGTAGGCATATCCGGAAGTTCGTGTTGGGGGGGATTGGAAAGTAATTCAAAACGAAGTTCGCTGGAATGACTTCGCTTAGCCTACGCACCTAGCGGTATGGAGGTTACTCTTGAAACGATATGGGAATGTTTAAAATGCTTATTTTATTGGCAGAGGGAGCAAGACACCGAGGAATGCGGTCCACTGAACTTTGGCATTCATGCAAAACCGCCGAAACTGTACTAGGCATCTCGAAAATGAAAAATGCCAGCTTCGACATTGTTGAACGGATGAAGAGGTGTAGAAGAAGGCCGGAGTTGGGCGTTGGGTTTACTTGACCCATGAGCGCACCCGTAAAAGGCTTGTATGACAATCTACTTACCTTGGGTCACCGAGAATTGTCAACCTCGATTTCAAGATTCCAATTGGGTCTCGGAAAATCCTTCATGACTTGGTAGCTCGCAAATTGTCGTTGCAGTAAAGCGCTTATCTTGAACTGATCGTTGACGTCAGACAGCCCCAACATCGCACCAAGGTCGACGTGACAGCGGGCAAGCTCCTCAGCGGGCTCTATGGATGCTAAAACGCTAGGATTTAGCGTTGGCCCGTCCCGCAATCGCTTCATCGAACGACTCGCGCCCCGGATATCCTGAGCTGGCACTTGATGAGACAACTCACCAACCTTTGGTGGCGGTGGCTTCCAGCGCCCCCCGCCAAGAACTACGGTTCGCATTTCGATCCCTCTCGTACCTGAGTGCTTGCTGGCCATTGAGCCTTACATCTGGGGAGAAGCTCGCGGAATGCCCCTAATGTGGTAAAGCTGCAAACTAAGGAGATGCAATTGACGTAAATGGCGCCAGGCAGACGGGAACTTCGGATATACTCCGGGCATATTAGACATCGATCGGCTGAACGCTTGATTACATCATCGTTCAGGACCGCTCCTACGAATGATCTAAATTCATTATGATACTTATACCTAGATTTAAACCCCACGTGCGTGTTAAATAAAGCATTAACGAAAATCACACGATGTTTGAAACTCGAGCTGGCGACCGCTCACCGAACGCTTTAGGAGTTAAGGCGTGCTGCACGCGATTGTTGAGACAAAAAGGCAGAAGACATACAACACCGGGCATTCGCCGGTCGTCACCGACCCGACTACTACTCCAGCCCTCNAGATCGGTAAAAGAACATACAACACCGGGCATTCGCCGGTCGTCACCGACCCGACTACTACGCCAGCCCTCATTGGCTTATCTATGGGAGAGCGGACGGGATCCCGAGTTCTCCAGTGGGTATGGTCGTATGTTACAAATCACGTGCTTACTTTTCCTCATGAGGCGCATACGCCGAGGTCTCCTACGCAGACGGCCGAGTTCGCGAAAGCCTTGTCTTACAATAAAACACGGACGACGGGCTCCTTGAGCTTAGCAGCTTGATCGCATGACATTAATTGCGCCAGCTGAATCATTCCTGCAACATTAGCTGCTTTATATCTAAACACCAAGTGCAAATCAGACGAAAATCGGTCGTGGCCAAGTCCTAACTATCGACACCTCGATTGCCAACTTCGACTCAAAGTCAGCAGCTGGGCGAGGCTGCAACCTTTTTAGTGAATCTGTTGGAATCGGAATGTATCTACGTTGAATTTGCTGCCTGCAGTTTGAATGTGCTACGCTTGAGCTGATGGATTGTCCGGGACACCTCAACGTCACTGCCGGAAGATTCAAGTATACGCCCAAAATGTTTGTCTTCTGCCATTGAAGTTAATGAGCAAATGGGCTCGTCAAGATGCCCTCACCCCCAAAAGTTCCGCCAGCATTTCTCCCTCTTGGAACACATGTCTCGGCTAACCCGTCTTTCGGATTGCAACGCTCCGCACCATGCCCGATCGATTCGAAGCCGCCGCCTAAGTAAGACGTCTTTTCTTGGTCTCATCTTGGATTATCTTAGACACGCTCTTGTGGCATCTGATGCGTGCGTCTGGGAAGGTTCGACGAAGGCTGTCCTCCATGTCTTTGACCTTGACAAATGAAAGCCCATTGTCGCAGCTTATCTCAATCGAGACCCAAGTGTATTCCTCCGGTTCGTACGCAGGCTGAGCAGTACCTTTCAGTTCATCGGAGTCGACGGCGGGGACTTTGCTCTTGGAGTCTTCGGGAGATGCAATGCTTGTGCGGATAAGTGGGATGTTGGGCTCAGCATCTGGTGTGTGGTGTCAGTGAGGGTCGTTGGGGATGGAGAATCATAGAGGAGACTGACTGATCTCGGACTTGATAGCTTTGGGCGTGGAGCATACATTGACGGCCGTGTTGCCTACGGGAATCGGCGCGTAATCCAGAGCGGGAGCCATGATCTAGGCGTGATTCAGACGATCTTGGTAGACGTTTGGGAGGGTTAGACAGGCCAGGCAAGATCGTTGGAAGGTGAAGTAGGAGGCTCGCTGTAGTATTGGGAGCTTCGGAGAGAATGCGAACGAATAGAAGAGCGCGTCCGAGGATGGAAAGACGGTCGGTTTCGAGTGGCAGATGGTGACCAGAAGCTGACTGGAGGAGGAGAAGTTGGAAGGGAAGAACATTTGAGGGTGGGCAAGGTTTAGAGGGAGGTACGGTCGCTTGTCACGTTCGAGGTGTCACGTTCGAGGACACTAGGAAGGTGCCCCTGGAGGCGGGAGAATGTATTGTAGGAAGGAGCAAGTCCGTCCCAGACACGTCTTGCCAACGCCATCATTTCTTTCTCATCACATGAGTGACTTCTGGTGCACTCACCAGATTGCACCTACCCTCCTCGTATGACGGCTTGCCTGCGTGACTTCACGCCGTTGCGCTCGACTGTGGCCTCATTCTTGGTGTCTTTCATTGGGGCAGCTTGCTTTGGGTTTCGTCGCAGCCATTTCCCTGGCCCATGCTCGTTGAAAGCCAGACGAAGGCTTTCCTGGGTCTTTCAGATCTGACTGGCATAACAGGTGCAGTGCCATCGAAACTAGTAGTCACTGTCAAGAGCGAGTGCTGGCCAAGAAGCCGATTCACCGTGGCCAAAGAACAGTTCCTGAAGTGGGTGCAGACAGTAGTAATTATTGTCGAAGGAAGCCAGTCTAAATAACTACATGTACATCTCACGCGCTCTCTGTAGGGTGCTATGCGCCACAGCTAGTGTCGCGAATACATTCGTCGTGGTAATTTGTCCTTCACTTTCGCTCCATATTGTCCTCTCTTTTACGAGCCAGTCGACAAGAGAATCAACCGCCGAACCAAAATCATTCCCCCACAGAAATGCCTCAAACACCCCCGGAACATCATCACCACTCTCAACGCGGGGTAGACAATGACGCGGACCGCCCAGCCTCCGTACCGCATCGTCAAAAAGCCCAGGTTCATGGAGCATAAAATATGCTACCAGAGAAGTGACAAGACGTCCAGCCTGGCATCCATGCTTTTGGCCCTCCTGTAGACGTTCTATGCGCCCTCCGTTGCTGAGATTGCGTGAGCAGAAAGGCAGCCCTGTCGGAGCCCAGCAGGTATAACAACCCACTCGTGGCGGAAAGCAGAACCTGTCTTTGAGAAGATCACGTAGGCGTTCGACCGACTCTGATCCTCTTGCAAGCGGGCATTCCGCCTTTGGGTGCTCGGCGCTGCTGAGAGGAATGTTGGGGTCGGTTCGCGAAGATGTATAGCAGTACAGACATCTTGGTCGGGTTTTCTCTGGATTGAATAGGAAACAAGCGTGGTAAAAAACACCCAAGGCGTCTTCCCGCGTTACACTATTCAAAGTTGAATGTGTGTGGTTGCCGTCGATACCAGATTCAGGTCTTGCTCGCTTTCGACAAGATTGAGGTGCCAGGGACGGTGCACTGGTACTTACTTGTAGTTTTTGGTATTCTGCGATTGAAGACCCTCCGTTTTCCATGTTTTCGGGAGGCCAATGGTTTCGGACAGTCATGTTCAAAGTTTGACAGTGCTTTTGCATGCAAAGGTCGCAAAGTGCAGGTCCGTATTGCTCGAGACACGTTGGAACTTCGATACCAATCAGATACTTGGTCAAATCCTTGCTTCGGCAACTGCCTCGAAAGAAATTGAACAATGCCGGGTGAGATATTGCCATTCTACCCACACTGTCTGACAGGTAGATACTCATGATACGTGCTGGGCCGTCAGGCTCAACCTGCAGTGTCAAGGGTATCGCGCACTCGGGATTGTCGTAGTTGATGATGAGCGACACGTCTTGAAGGTCAAGTGCCGTCATGTGTTGTGAAGAAGCGAATATGGTCTGCTTTTGGGAAGTGCGCCATGCATGGAGTCTGCAGCGTCGTTCTTCTGGAGGGTCTGCCGAGTCAAAATAATGACACCCGTATTCAGCAGCCAAGACGATGGCCTGAGAATGACTTGCGGTCAGAACGACAGCAAGCTGCCTCTTTTGAGTTTCTCTTGCGGCGGAAGGTTTGGCTGCAGCATCGATTGCCGCGTGAAAGTGATTGAGAGCGGTGGAAAGGCCTTGTCGCATCAGAAAACCGTTTTGGCTCCCCACTGCGCTATACACCGTCTTCGAGGTATTCATCGGAAGGCGAATGCAGTCGTAGTAGGGTTCGGCATCGTATTGTCTGCGGAAGTCGTCGACTGCTGATGGGGGCAGAAGACGTGTTATGAGGACCCTTGCCAGTCGGCAGCGGCGCTCAAGGTAATGCTCAAGGGTGGCTATCAATCCGAATTGACCGTACTCGGATTGACCGTGATGACAGTCAAACTTCGGGTAGGAGAGCTCTGAGTTCTCGACGATGATGGCGTTGATCAGCCGGCCCCGAACAAAGTCAAGGAAAGAAGGATCGGGTATAATTGAAGGAGAGAGTACCACACAAGTGCCGGCTTGGGCTTCCAAAAGCGAGGGCATCTGCCTGTAGACATTCCAATCGATGGCATGATAACCGGCGTCCTCCAGCGTGCGCACTGTCTCGACGTGACCGGAGGCATGGTGCGTCACAACAAGCGTGATGCTGTTGGGCGATGTCGTCCAGAGTCTGAGGGACTGCTTGCGAAGCACGCATTTGAGGTCGGCAGCGACAAAAATGGTGTCGCGCGGCGGCTGAGGCTCGTGATTAGCCATGCTCGACAGAGGATCCTAGCTTGTTGGGTCGAGCTTCGGCTAGACTTCGTAGACTGCCCGGTGAGAATGAAGAGAGGTTTTGGTAATTCATGGACGATGGGAGTTGTCTGAGGTACATAAGGTAGGTAGAAATGACACCGGCGTGGGAGAAGTTGCAGTAGCTGGGAAGGAGCACCTTGGTCTCAAGACCGGCGAAAAAGGTGCTGGCTTGCTAAGAGGAAGGCACCTTCTTGCCGTAGAGGAGATTTTGTGTTACTGCCTACCTGAGGGTACCAAAAAGGAAGGCATGGCATTTTGTGAAGAATTCTTTTGTGAAATTTAGGCTGTTACCAGCCGCAAGATTCCGCATTTCGCAGAGTTCCGTGTCTCTAGAAGTGTACATATTCTGTCGGGTGTGAAATAAGTGATTGGAGACCTGCAGAGTCGGTTCTATCCATGTATGAAAATCGGAGGTAGGTATCCCAAGCAGCCGAGCGTGGAAGGTTCCTAACGTACTTACTGTTCACATCTGCGTTGGCTGCAGGGAGTGGCTGCAATGTGAAATGTGGGGTTAATTCCGGTGTGCATCCAGTGACGTTCTAGGTAGGTACCTAGGTACGGTAGGTACCGTGCGGGGGGCTCTGCGGCGGCGGGCCCGTCGGTGCCTTCCTCAACACTTTCATCTCTCCTCCCTACCATAGGTGTTCACCAAGCAACATCTCCCGAGTTCTACCTACCGACGAGACGCTAATCCATCGACAACGAACTCCCGCTCGTGGACGAGTGCACAATGGAGGCTGTTGACCCTGGCTTCGTCGAGGAACTCCATGCCGACCTGGCGCGCAAATACAGAACCCACGCCGCCAAGCTCGAGACAGCATGGCGTTCTTTCGACAAATCGCAGCGAACACGATGCTTGAAAGCCGGCGCAGCAAACGGTGACATCTTGCGACACCCGTTGGATACGAGCCTTGGCAACGTGTACAAATTTATTCCAGAGTGGAATATTCGCGACCTTACCGAACCCGACTCAGACCTCCTCTTGGACCTTCTCAAACACCGTGCCACTCTCTCACTGGAGGAGCAATACTTCCGAGGCTTGGACGGTAGCGACGGCGATCACGACCATATTCTCATGATGATGAGAACCAAACGACTGCGCCACGTCGCTTCTTTCGAGAACTGCTTCACTACGTTCATGGATAGCAAAACTTCCCAATACGGGCGCTCGTTCCGTCTTTTACGCGATATCGATCAATGTTTGTCGGACCTGGAACCGGCCTTCCGAGCAGGTGTCTGCGTCCCTCAGTCAGTCGGCGAACTCATTTTGCAGAGGCAATTGTACATGCTGCAGTGCCTAAATATCGTGGTTGAAGACGTTCTAGAGATTGGCTCCCGAACCCGGAACCAGAACCAGCGACCAAAGAAAAACAGCAACGACGCAACACTCAGCAGCCTCTCCAAATTGTCTGTTCAAGATGTACCCACCAAAGTCGCAATACCAGATATCGCCGCAGACGCCCGCGACCGGAGCGCGACACTCCTAGAACGGGTAGAGATGTTGTCGGCAGAGCCCGTCGTTCTCGCTTATTCCACCAACATGGCTTTCTTCAGCCGCACAGGTCTTGTCCCCGACGAAAAGGGCCGCAGTCTTCCTGTCCACACCGACAAACATATCAGCGGCGCCGTTTTCGAAGCCGTTCATGGCGAGGTTCAAGCCGCGGCAATTTGGGCCTACATCACCCGCTTGATCGAAGCCCTCGAAATGTCGGACCGCGACAAGATGTACCGCACCCTCATCCTGCAGGATCTTGCAAACGTGTGTCAGTTGGAGTATGAACGCACGCAGGCTCTGTTCCGGCGTCATGTCGCCACCGGCGCTGGCCCCAGACGATTCAAGCGCGTCTCCAATGCCTACGACAACGCAGGCAACGCCCGTCTCGCCATGAAGGGCAAGCCCGAAGACCTAACAAGAAGCGATCCCTTGTTCAGCTATCTTCTTCGTCTCTGCCAGCCTAGCACTGCACCCTCCAATGTTACGGGTTGGATGAAAAAGCTAGGCGATCTGTACACGGCCCATCCACCAGAGCGTGAAAGACTGGACGAACGCCAAGCCGACGCGCTCTTCGACCTGGCCGTCATCGTTGGGCTCGTTCAGGACCTGACATCTGCTGTTACCCTCCCATCCTGTTCAAGTAAGAAGGGACGAACGTTCGTCAGAAAATGGCGAGAGTTGGAGGCAGAGCTGTCATCTTTGAAACCCGAAATCGACCTGCGTGACTACGCCGTGCCCATTGACAATCTCCTGGAACCTGGGATGGCCGAGGGAGCTCTCGCAGCCCTTGAGGAGTTCGTAGTGGCTAACACCGGTACAAAGATCGGTTTTCTCTACCAGGATCTCATCAACGAGTGCTTCGCTGACCTCGAATGTCGATATGAGCTAATGAAGATCGACAAGGCGAAGAACACACTGCCAGCAGCTTCTATTGATTCGACCGTCGTTGAACCCAAAGAGGCCATGATTAGTCGTTGGAGGGAAAAGCTGAAGACGCGTCCGTCCCAAGCATCTACTTACGAGCTGAACCCCCAACATTCCGTGCCCGCAGAGCATTCACAGCCTAGCGCATCATCGGAGACCATTCAAGTCAGCGCGTCGACTGCTGACTTCTTTACCAACCTGTTCTCAAAATCCCAAGCACGGAGATCGACGACTTGGACATCGTTCGAGACTGCCATGGCAGAGCTTGGCTTCTCTGTCTACCCTCGGTACGGGTCCGTGTACACCTTCCGGCCCCCCATGCAGTTCAAAGTCAAGAGACCTTTGACCATTCATCGCCCGCATCAGTCGCAAATTGAGGGATACAGACTTCTTATCCTTGCACGGCGGTTGAATCGGACGTACGGATGGAGTGAGGAAACTTTCAAGCTTCAGTGAGGGCATTGGAGTTGCTGGAGCCCAAAGATTGATACTACGAGGACGGAGAAGGACACTCAATAAAATGCAAAGGAATAACACAGTCGAGGCTTCACTCGTTGGTATTAAAAGGTCTTCTGAACTCCAACAATGAGTGACTTTGAGTTGAGAAGGGAGGCGGGGTTCAACACAGCCCGACTCAAAGAGATTGGCTGCGAAGAAAAAAAACCAACAAGATGTAAAGGGATGAGGAACATGCTTTCAGCTTTTGCTGAGTTACTAGTGGATTGCTTTGAAGAATGTCTAACCAATGGATCTTGACTGAGAAAGTTGCCGCAGCCAAGCTCAGGCGATTGAACCAGTAAAAGGTTTGGGGTTTGTTGAATCAACTCCCAGTAGCACCAATTTCCTGATGTTTGGCCAATAAACAAAACACTATTCCATTGCTATGTACCAGTGTCAGCCACTCACGGATGGGCACCCCGTTCATCTCACTATTTGAAGAATTTGAGGCCGATCAGATTCAAATGCCTCGTCTCCTCCGTCGTTAGCGAAGCCACTTAGACACGACGTTGTCCCCCTGCTCAGTTTCCTTCTGAACTCTACACTGAGGTACAGGCCCAAGTCTCGCACTCTTCTTTGGAAAATCATCAGGCGTATTCTTTCGAAAGGTGCTCTGCGAAAGGCTGTCGGAATTATGATATTGCCACCGTTGCACCCCGTGCGATTCATACCGGTGCCTGCCAATATGGTGCGATCAACATTTGTTTACCGTGCCTTGGTTCGCAGCAATATTCAACGCAAGTCTCAATTCAGCAATGACATTTGACTACCCATTTGTCCGTGCTTGAGATTGCTGCTCACTCAAACACCTTCATCCAATTCATCAACTCTTTCCAATTTATGCATTGATGCTCTGTGCCAAAGCCGGTGACACCATTGAGTGTGGTGTTCGCAATTTCAATCGTCAAATCCTACCAAAGGTGTTAGCTGGAATTTTCCCATTCAGACAAACGGGTCGTCTATGACGACGGCTATGACAGAAACCTACCGGCTTGCACATGATGGCCTGGCGCAAAAGATCAAAACAGTGCCCCAGGTGATACATGTCATGCGCCCCATTGATTTCTGTCGCCTTGTCCCGTCTCCCATGGCTCGACGATGCTGTGTCCGACTTGTTTCTGTCTTGGCCCATTATATCTGGACGCGTTTCGTAGAGCGCCCGACGAAGCATGTCAAGGCAGTGGATTTGATGAAATACAGCCAGACAGCTCTCTTTCGGTGCAATCTTCGGGTGTGTAAAGAAGCCGCCTCGTTCGGGGAGGAGGGATGACCAAGCCTTGTCGACCTTTGGCGATGGAGGCATCGCATAAGTCAGATCAAGGAGGAATGTTTGAGGGGCGGTCTTCACTGCCGTGTTGTCAGTTGCAACATGTCCACATCTTGCTACTGCTTTCAGTATTATCTCATTGACCCACGACGCATCTCTTCCCGTAGGGGCTCTTCGCCGTATAACGCACTGTCGCTGTTGAGCCGGGAGGCGTTATTGCTGACTACGGCGACGAAGACAAGGAGTAGAGTGTAAATGACGTGAACCTTTGCACGATTCCAATTTCGCTTGTACCAATGTCGTTCATCGTGTTGACCCTGTGTCTCTTCTTGTGCAATCTTTGAATATTGATGAGAATCAAGCCAGAATGACATTGCGGCGCTTCCAAAACGTCGAAGAAAAGGTAGAGGGAAGGAAAAATGTCTCGGGCAATTGCGATAGACGCCAGCAAAATAATCTACCCGAAAGTCTCACTGACTTCCACTCGCACCGTGGCAGGTGAGTGGAAGAAGATGCAGACGGAAACTCAATATGTAGAGTTGGAGACGAGAATTTGTCTAGTGAAGCTTGATCTTTGAGAATGCGAATCTTTCTCACGACGTTCCAGACCATGTTTGGGAGAGTTTTATTATATTTGCACCAAATAACATGGCAAAAACTTGTGATACGGACACTGGCGAGTCCGGTGGCTAACACGGCCAAGATTTCCACGTTCCGTCATTTTCGGGTGTTGAAGCTTCCTGTCGATCATACAGTCGCAAGGATTGGGCTCCGAACGTGGGGTAGGTGAGCACGCCGATCATCCGTTCCCATAATGTCAAAACAATGGATCAGGTCGTTCACAAGATCATTAGTCCATATTCAGAGAGTTTAGTGGACCGATCAGTTCATCGCAGTATCGTTCAAATGGCCACATGGACGTGATACTTCGCCATTTTGACCACCTCGCACCTTTCGGAAGCTTCAGAGGGACCCGGCCGGCAGATAGGCGGGGCTGCGCCACTGTCGCAACCGCCCCGGATGTGGAACTTCCAATTTGATCGCTCGGCCCGGTAGGTCTTGGTGCCGTCAACTACCCGCAAATCTCTTGTTTGACGGCGAGCCGGGCATGGCCCATGTCGGCGGCCGCAGTCGCTTATCCGGAACCATGGGCGGGAAGACGAAAAGATTGGCAAAAGGCTTCTGTCCATTATGTCGAGGTCACGGTCGTTTGTTTCATGCAACTTTCTCTTGTTCCCCCGGTTCCTCTATCGTATCACAGCAACACCTTGGCCCAGAGCATTCCTATCGCAAACACGGTGGGGTTCTCCACCACCTCACCCATGATTCCAGCCACGAACGAAAACAATTCTCCTCCGCCTTCCTCGGCTCTGTGCCTACATATGTAGGCGACCACGGTAATGAACCACAACGATAGCTGATAACATGCCACGAACGACAAGACCGTATGGGCAAGGGGCCCAGCTCGAGGTACGGGCAGCATGTTTGCGAGCCCAATAGAATCTCGCTGGCCAAGGGAAGATCGGCCCGAGCGTCCGAGTGCCACGCGTGTTTGAGGTGTAAGTCCAGAAATCCTGGCCGCGGGTGATCTAAGTGCTGATCGCTCCTGGATCTTAGGCGATGTAAAGCGGATTGGTCCGCCCTGGAAAGTGGTAGTTACGAGAGCATTGGCCGTTGTAGTCTGGCTAGGCCTGGGCCCCGGTCGGATTGATCCGTCTTCACTATCCGTAGAGAGCTCAATTACCCTGACGCGTCGGTTCGGTCTGTTTGCGCGTGACAACGGGAAGGAGAGTGTTTGGTGGGTTCGCAGGCGCGATTGTGTGACTTGATTCTGCTGGGACGACGGTCGTTGTGGCATGGCAACGGGAATTGCTTGTGAGGATGAAGCCGATGAGATGGTTTGAGGATTGGGCGATCGAATGAAGAAAGACGGGCGTTTATGAGCTTCCTCAGGGAGAACATGAGGATTACTGATCCTCCATCGTTATACGCATCATCAGAACAGCGGTGAGTTCGACATTTGCCGGAGTATGCCCACATGTCTTGGTGTTCATTGTCCGAGATGAGACAGTGTTTGACACGGGCCTAAGCCACGACAATCAGATAACCAAGGATTCAGTTACAATGAAAGAAGGCTTAATGACGAAGTTCCCTGTAAATGGCATTCAAGTCATGGATTAGGTTGAGTCCCTACTCAAGAGACCAAAGGACAGACGATTTTGTCCCATAGATCGACAGTGCAACCGTTCCATCAGGTAGTTGACCCATTTCCATGGAATCAGGAATTCGAGGAACCACTCAGAGTAGATTTGCAATGGAATGGTCGCAGCATTAATCCCTGGCTCTTTTCGTTCGTTCGCTTGCGGTTCGATTTCCGTCGAATCTGCATGTACCCGTTGACGGTGGCTTGATCTTTGCCGTCGCGAGCCACTCAGTGCGATGCTAGCTGGTCATCTTCAACGGGTTAAATGACAAGCAACACTACTATGCAGAAGCTTTGACTGAGACATACATCAGCAAGAAAATGGTTTTTCGGCGGATACTGACCCAAAATACCACCATCATCAATCATGATACGAAATGGGAACTTGACAAGGGCAGATTCGTGCGTAAATGTCTCTAGACATTGCACGGGCAGTACTGCCACTTGCACTGCTGAGAATATTAGGGATAGTTGTCGAGAGCCAGTCACACACCCCTTCAGTCTATGAGGTTCCGAGATGTAAAGAGCCTGAATTACTCTTCGCTGAATAATCAATGAGTACAGTACGAACCAAATATTCACCGAATGATACTTTCGAGGCAGTTCGAGAATTCAGATGGAACGCTCAATACATTATTGTGCAGGGGAGTGGGAGGTTGGCTTAGTTGTGAGGCTTCCCGACAGTTAAAGCACACTTTTCGTACTCGAAGAAAAGAAACGTTGGATTTTGTGTGTGGTGTAATCAATGCTAGAAAGCCAATGAAGATGATTCTCAATCATCCCAGCTCGCCGCAAGCTGAGTCGATACCTTCGAAATGAACTTATCCTGAAAGAATGGCCACCATTCCCCAGCCAGCAAGCACCAGAAACATATTTCGCAACTGACCCCTAGCCGGTTGATGGTTCTATCGCGACGCAAAGCCCAGTGTTCTGTTTTCCTTCCGACCTCTCTACACTATTCGAATTCGTAAGCCTCGCAAGGTAGAAACCAGCTCGAACTGTTTTTCCGATGTATCGCAAAACTTGACGAACATGCGCACCCTATGCGAGTACGGCTGCCAAAGTGCATGAAACCGAATTCCCAGGGATTTCTCCATGGCCTGAAGTCTCTTCGCGCTGCTTGGAATGTGGTGATTCAATGCGTTACTGGTGCGGTTGCGGCGCTGTAATTTCGGCCCTCTGCAGTCCTCGTCAAAGATGATTTCTTTGAGCGCGGGAATTGCCGCCATTGTATTGCGGTATGTGGTGTCGCGTCCACCAGCAAGAGCATAGACGAAGGCTCGAGGTCGCATTCTCAGGTGGATGTTATGGAATGCAGGCTGTAGATAGGCTAATTGCGCAACGAAATGGGCAACTCCTGGTCCTGGTCGATGGCTGATAACCACGTGGCAAGAGTCAAATGTATCAACACCTGGGAGCACTACAGCGAGAGCGAGTGGTTTGCCACGGTGAAAGACTTCGAAGTCTGGTAAAAAGGCCTTCAGCACAGTCTGTCTGAAAAGCTTACTGGTTTGGGATACGTCTCGAATCATCTTGAAGCGTAGCGATGCAAGACGCCTTTGACGGAAGTTGAGGTTGAGCTTTGGGCGTGTGTCGTTCCGGGAATCATAAGTCGCATTCCACGTCAATGGCTGAGCAGAAATTTCTGCATCATCTACCATGGTCTGGGCAATTAGAAGGACGACCTCGAGTGGGAGACACTTTGGCGACGTTTTCCCTGGTGTGTTATTTAGGCGCAAGCCTTCTCGATGGAACAAACGGGCTGACCTTCGGCAAGCCATGATTGTGAGGTCTGTTGTGGTTGATACTGACAGGATGCTGTGTTGCGCGTCTCTCAGAGAAGATTATCTTCAACTGCACAAAAGTGAATTAAGTATCCGAATTCATTTTCTCCGCTTACGGACTCTTGATCCATGAAGACCATTCCAGGAGATTCCGGGAAGGTGCGGTGTCGCAAAGAACAACAGCATGCACTCCGACTGACGGCGCTGGTAGTCGACTGAAAGGGAGGTTTCAAAGGCTATATACACCAAAGATAAGGCGCACAGCTCGTCTTTATCTACACTGCGTTGGCTCTGACTCCGTCAAAGCTACAAAACATGAGAACCTTTCCATTCGATTCGAATGGTTGGTCGCGAAGCATCTTGCTCTGACATAGCTGAAAACAGCTGTGTGTAAGCGGCCGGTATCTGTCATACCTATGTCTGGGTCCTTTGAGATCATTACTCAGTTGCCAAGTCCGGTCTTCTTGAGCGAGTAAATTTATTAACTGGCTGGCCCCGTGCTGACGTTCGGCCCGCAAGTCTGAGCCTGGCCTGGGAGATAACGCTAACGACATCTCAAGGAACTATCCTATCTTCGAGTTAGCTTAGAGAACCATCCTCGTAATTTCTTAAGAACTCCTTGACCAGCGTTGCATCGCTTCTGCGGGCCTATGTATGCTACACTGTATGGGAGGCGGACACGGCAAGGTCGCTCTTGGCTATGCAGGGGTTCGGAATGCGAAGTGCGGAGTGCGAGATGCGAAATGCGAAGTGCGAGGGTGAAGATGTCAGGTAGCAGGCACACACCCATATCAAGCACCACGCAGATTCACACCCACAAAAACTGGAATGTACTCATCTAGTACAAATACCCTCTCCTGCTAGGTAACTTAGTCTTTCTTAAACCGTATTCTGAAGACTCCCTTACAATACTTGCTTGCAATCCTTAAGTAGCCTTGAATTATAAACTAGAACTTTGATCGCCATCGTTTCCACCCCTTCTACGCATTGTCATGGCTCACACAACCATGCCCAAAGGCAATCATCAGCCTAGCCCTAGCACGCTGCAAAGGTGGCGAATCGACCGTTTCGTTAGAGCCTTCCAGCTGTTCGCCAGTGCTTTGATCGGTTTATCTGCGCCTTTACAGACCTTTGCTTTTGGGAACCTTGGTGCCAACAAAGCGTTTGGCAGTAGTGCCCTGCGACTTCTCGAATCTCAAGCGTCTTCGATCCGCGAGATGAACATGACGAGCAGCATCGCCTCCCGCGAGGGCCAACCGGTCGTCGCCATCAACCCCACAAACCCCGACAATATTGTTTTCGTCTCGACACGCTTCCATCCTCTGCCCGAACTTGAGCCTGTGGGGAGCTGCTTCCTGACCTACACGCTCGACCGCGGAATCACCTGGAACAACGTCACAGCGAATTACCCCTTAGGGACCGCTCCAAAGTGCGGCGAACCACAGGTCTTTGCCGACGCCAATGGAACGTTCTACCTCCTGAACAATCAAGTTCTCTCCGGCTTAGAAGACAACATGGCCGCCCATCCCCAACTATCAAAGTCTGTCGATGGAGGCAAGACGTGGGGCGTCCCATCTGTGACGCCGCTTTATATGCAAGGTGCGACAAAGCTGCGGGTTGATGTGGCTACGGGAAAGGTGTACGCAAACGGTGCGTCGTCTTGGGAGTATCCAGCAGCTGTGTCTGTCAGCTCTAACGGTGGCGAGACCTGGGCCGCCTTCAACCAAATCCCCGGTCCCGTCGACGTTTGCCTAGACTATCAGATTCCTGACCTACCTCCCATCTGTGGATTTCCCGGCAGATCGATTGCAGTACACGATGGAATTCTGGCTTCGGCTGCGGAGGGCTCAAATGGCCACCCAGAGATGTACGTGAGCCGTGATGAGTGCGTTACGTGGACGACGTTTCCCTTGACTGATAGCCGAGGGAATCTTGTGGCGAATGGCACCGGCCCGATGCTGGCTGTCTCTGGCATTGGTCTCCCCAGTGACCCGACGCCATGGGTGTCCGCCGACCCTACTGCAACGGGTCGTTTCGCGCTCATGGTCCCCCGCGACCTCACGCTAGAGATTTATATCACGGATAACGCGGGTCAAAACTTCACTGGTCCGGCTGTCATCCAAACTCCTGACGCTGACGTCTTGCGTTCGACTTCGGCCCAAATGGCCTACTTGGCGTGATGTGGCGCACTAACTCGTCGGGTGTCCTCGATGTTTACTCGACGGTATCTTTTGACGGCGGACGCAACTTTGCCGCACCAATCAAGGTTACGGCACAGCCACAGCCTGTTGGTCAAAATGGACAGCCAGGCGATCGAGCTTCTTTTGTCTCGCTCACTGATGCGTATGCTTACGTTGCCTGGTCTGACGGCCGCGATGGCCTACTGGACGCTGTTCTTGCTGAGGTACCCTTGGATTTCTTTCAAGCCATGGCTTAGGTTACCAAGGTATCTTAAAGTATCAGAAGTTTACATCATGGCGGCGTAGCTTCTGCGCAAATGCGAAGAGGGCTGTGTGAAATGTATCATCGAAAGCAGTCTCCTCACACTGGCCAGTACTATCAAATATTACAGGGTTGATCTATAGAAAGAGTCAGCTGAGAGCTAAGGCTTGATAATTGCTCTAAGAGCTATCGGGTTCTGACATGAAGACATTGGAGCCCATGGCTCTACCGCCTACGCCTTTGGGGTCCTTAAAGCAATCAGTACTCATAGAACTATCCATCCTATAATTGCATATGTATCAGTTCCTATGCCACATGTTCAGGGGTTGCTCATGTGATATCCAGAAGATTTGTTACATGATGACTTGTGGTAAACCCGCTTTCTTTCTCTCCTATTCAGCTAGCCAATGAGCCAAGGCAGCCAGCAAGCGGCATCGTTCACCCCGTCCATCCTCCCATTTGTCCCCATCCACAATGTCTAATATGGTCTTCATTGGTGGGTCATTATCGCTGCCAGGTGTATGGCTGGTAATCTGTAAAGTGACCATGCCGTCAAAGGAGGACTGCTTTTCAATCGGCACACCCCCTGTAGTGTTCGTGTTCAACATCTGGGCAATCCCACGTCCATCCTTCTTCCATTGCGGCCAAGTGGTGATATTTGAGTCAACGCCGCGTAGTGTTGGGGTTCCGTGGACAATAAAATCACCCCATGCGACCTGCAAGCCGCGTCGAAGGGGCGCTGTGATAGATGTGTTAGGTGTGTTCACATCCGCGAGAAGCACATCAGTCGTACTTCCAGAGCCCACGTCTAGACCATGATATGCAGGCGGTACGCTAAACTGGTATCGCCATGCCTGACCTCCAGCCTTAGATGCGTATGCGTCTGCAAGCCAGTGCGATGGGCACATGAAGGTGGCTTCCGCGTAAAAGTTGTTAGCTACTTGCTGCCAACCCGTGGCATAGTTGGATACGGTTGTGGCGAAAGGCGAATCGAGGCCATTGGTTTGAAAACCTGGGTCAGTGTTGTTCGCGTCCTTCGAATTTACTGTAAGGAATTCTTCGTGTTTCTGAGTGTATGTCGCAAGAACATCTGAGATGTTGCTTGTCGCCAGCTTGGGATAGGTCGTCTGCAAGAACGATACAAAGCCTGCCTGGGATGTAATGTTCTGCGGGGTAAAATACGGACCCTCGTCCGCAACATTGCTGGTGAGCAGATTTACGCCGTGGGCCTTGGCCTTCGCGAGTTGATTCGGAGGAATGTCCTTTACGAGTTTCCCATCAATAACTGGCCCCCATGCCCACTGCCCGTAGCGACCCTGTGTACTCACCCAGTCACTCGCATTCTGAAGAGTGACTGAGTCGACGTTTTGCAGGCAGGAAAAGATAGAAGTGGAGTCCTTCGAAGTTGTACACCCAACACGCTCAGCCAGACTTCGGTATTGCTTTGTGGGCCGAGCGCCATCGAATTGACTGCAATGCTTGCTTAAGACAGGTTGCCTCACGCCGGTAACTTGTAGAAAAATACTTACGGCTGAGTTGCCATATATGGACTGCTTGCGATCACACCTCTGAAGAGACCATCTGCCTCATGCGTCGTAGCCAGATTTAGGATCGCTCCAGCCCCGGCGGATTGTCCAGCTACCGTCACTTTGCTTGGGTCGCCGCCGAACTTGCAGATATTTTTCTTGACCCAACGAAGCGCGTACACCATGTCATGCAAGCCGGCATTAGGAGTACCGTTGGCCGCAACCTCATCCGATGATAGAAAGCCAAATGCTCCGAGTCGATATTGGATCACGACGGCGATGTAGGTGTTGTTGTTGGTGGCAATCTGAGTCGAAAAGTCAAACGAAGCCGCCGAGTCAAGGCTGTAACCGCCTCCGTGGATCCAAACGAGGACAGGCAGGTTCCTGGCGTCGGCAGGGGCAAAGACGTTCAGAAAGAGACAGTCCTCGTCACCAGTGAAATTGAACGATTTCAAAGAGTCTTCCTCGGATGCGGTCTTGGGATACTGCAGAGAACGGCGTGCCCATGGACAACGGGGCGGATCGGACGCAGCAGGCGTGATCTCACTATTATTGCCGGACTGGGTGCTGCTTTCTGGTGCCTGAGGTAGTTGCCATCGAAGGGCGCCTATTGGAGGAGCCGCATATCGAATGCTACATCATGTCAGATTCTGTCTAGATATCAAGCGTTGCTGTTTGGTTTCTGTAGCAATTACCCTCGGAAGACGTTGAGATTCAAAGTTGAGTTATATGTGCCCTGGTATCGGGCGTAGGAAAGATCGACCGTTGGCCGGCTCAAATCTTGTGCTGCGGCCACAACCGGCAGAAGCGTGATCAACCACGTGGAGAGCCTCATGACTCCTTGACTACCCAAAAACGATCAAGTGCAAGAGGTCGGGTTCACTTGCGTGATCGTGAGGCGTCTTATATACCTAAGCGTTAGGGCGTAAGAAACGAACGGAATAAACAGCCAAGAGATCAGCGACGCTCATTGACTATTACCAACCACGAAGTAAGGAACTTGGAATGAGGGAAGTAGTGCAACCCCAACGGTTATGTCTTTTGTTTAGGAGTCGAATGGGGTAGATCATGATTGACGCGTAAATTGGTCGAATTAAGTTTGATTACCACCTCGTCGTTACCCCACTAACATAAGGTGAGGGCACTTCTCACGACTCGCGCGATAAACGTTAGACTTTCCGCGGCAGATGTCAAGCGGGATTACGTTTGGTCCATAATCCCTACAGCCGTTACATCGACGATTAGTCAGTGACAAACACCGCAACATTAACACCGAAAGTCAAAATCGTCCGGAAACACATTTTTCGGTCGCCTCGGATGAAGCCTCGGACTTATGTAACAGCGGTCCGCTGCTGATTGTTGTAGGAAGCCGATTCTCTCCCACTTGAGCAAGACGTGCGGTTATCATGGCAGGAAAATTAGATTGACGAGGCCGAGGAATTGCTGATAGCCCTTGTGGGCGTCTCCATCGGAAACTCACCGGCGAATTCAACACAAAGTTCTAATGAAAGTTCCCGGCAGTCACAAGACCAAAGCAGAGATACAAAAGCTAGGATGGAATGGAAGACAATGGGCTTGGGACATGTGTAAGGACAGCCTGTGGTTGATCCCTCAGGGCTGGCGCACATATGTTCCACAATACCTTAATCACAAAGCGACACTAAAATATTGAAGATATAAACATCGAATCTTTGCTATTGTCATGCATCAATTGTGAAGCGCTTACCTTCTACTGCGAAAACCGTGGTCGGGTGCATGACAGCTGGGCAACATCTGACTGAGACTAAAAACCAACGTGTCGGCAGCTGGATCAGGACGGCATATAATGTGCTGTACAAATTACACGCTCAACCCAGAAGATAAGCATCTTCGTGATACTAGTAAATTTTGTGGGAGTGCGGATTTAGTGCTTCGGGGTCTACAAAGCTTTCATCTCGATACAACAGGCCGCGTGCCCACTCTTCACCAACACAGATGCCATCAGAGTCGGTGTTCACAGTCTAAAGTCCGCGTCAAATACAATTAGAGCCTAAATAAATGACTGATGCTTGCAAACACTTCAGATATTGACGATGCCGACTTTCTCAGCCAATTTCACACGGTTATTACCATGCTCTTCACGACTGGAAGCTGGCCAGAGGGCCAACAGAAAGCTGGTTTGAATTGTATGTCAGCGCCTCCTTCACTATTCAGTATGCTCTCTACAAGCACGCGTCGCAGGAATTTGCATGTGTTCAGAATATGGTGCTGAAGCATAAGCCTGGATAACACCAGTCGGTATGCTGCAAGAAACGAGAATATTATATGAAATCCGGTCAACAGTACTGTGGTCTCTCACAACCACAGTTTCACTTCCTTGAACCCATTGTGGATATCGGAGGATGGGAAACCGAATGCGATTGCTCATTCGGAATAGGCTCCAGTTGTGAATCATTCACTATGACGTGAATCTTTTGGTTGTCGCAACGGATGGGTACGCAAGAGCTTGGGGAGAGCATGTTTAATCGCTTTCGCTTCGCAAAAAGAAAGAAACTTGCTTGAGTGGAAGTGAACTAGGTAGTAACGATCATCCAAGACCTAAGACATGTTTACCAACAGGGTAATTGTGGCGAGTGTTTACACAGTCCGTGTGTCTACCCAGGAAACAATCGCATCCACTCCATCGGAAAAGCCTAAATTTAAGCTTGGTGAGCAGTCTGTAGTGGCTTACATGATGCTTTTCAATCATTTCATAGACGGAAGACTTCAGACGAATTCGACTGGGACGGACTACTCCTATCCTTTCGCTGTATTTCAGGTGTAAAAAGATCACTGCGGGGCGCCGAAACACCGCGCTGCTGAGTGTTGACGTTCGGACTTGTCCACCAGTATCGCCATGTGGTCAATGTTTATCCCGCCGGCGCTACCCCGCGGATCTGTTTCCATCCACCAATCCCAATGAAGGTTTTGCGACATAAAGTCAAACATAGGAATTTGTTGCGTAAATGAGTCTTGCTGCAACGCCTATGGTATCGTGAATACGTTTTGTCCACCTGGGCAAGGCCGGGAAACAACCGGAAATCCCTAACTTGAGGCACACCAAGGTGGACAACAAGAAGTCATTCAACAGCATTTATTGGACCGATCGTTTGAAGCATCTCGGGATTGCCGACGCATGTCGACTTTGCACTCGTATATGATATTATGGAGGGACCATCAACATCTTGTTGGAAGATTTACCCTCAACATACCATCGACAACATCGGCCAGAGGACGGTAATCATGGCATTTCATCCAAAGTCGGCTGCCTTGGCCGACATCGCGCGGGCCGCGTTTGTCGTCATGTCCTGTCTTTCTGTCGCGGCTGCTCAGCAGCCGGTTCAGGTAATGCTGGACGATGGCCCTTACTCTGGAGTTACAATGGCCGGGGTCAACAAGTTCCTAGGGGTTCGGTATGCTGCCCCTCCTGAACGATTCGCACCTCCAGCTCCTGCATCTATGACGCCCCACAGCGATGCGAAAGACGCGACCAAATTTGCCCCGTCTTGTATCCAAGCTATTCCAGGTAAGGTGCCCAGTTGGAAGGTGTCACGGCACTTTATTAACTCTCAAATAGCTCCCATTGCCGCCCAAATGGGCAATATGGGTCCGCAAAGCGAAGATTGCTTGTTCGTGAATATCTTCGCCCCGTCGTCTCCCCCACCTCCCGAAGGAAGAACTGTAATGGTGTGGTATTACGGCGGAGGCTTCCAATTCGGTAGCGCCAATACTCCCATGTTTGACGGCTCAAGCTTCGCCCAGAACCAGGATGTGATTGTCGTAACTCCCAATTACCGGACAAGTGGTTAGTTCTTTTCCGAGAGCCCCTCCTCCTCAACTGGTATATCTAATAACTTTCCTCTAAAAACAGTCTTTGGGTTTCCGGGAAGCGTCGAAGGAATTCCTCCTCAGGCACGTAACGTTGGCCGTGAGTCTTCTTCTCTTCTCTCCTCGACTGCATTTGCTAACTAAGAAAACTGTCATGGACCAGAAGCTTGCCCTTCAGTGGGTTCAACGAAACATCAAAGCATTCGGAGGCGACCCCAAGAAAGTCACCATCTTTGGTGAATCTGCCGGTGGGGCCTCCGTTGATCTGCTCCTTCTGACCAGCGGCATGAACCCTCCTTTCCGAGCAGCAATAACGGAATCCGGAACCTCGTACCTTGTCACAGCGCCACAGGCTGGTGGAGATATTGTTGGGCTGATGGCGGGTATTAATACGGGTGCGAGCATGCCAGGGAACTCTTTCAAAAATCTGGCCAAGGCTCTGAACTGCAATGGAGGCCAAGCCCTCGCTTGTGTCAAGGCAGCACCTGTGGATGCTGTTGCCTCCGTGATCTCAAACGGACCTTTCAACTTCCCGCCGGTTGCCGACGGTGACACAAACGTTCCTAACTCGCCCGACGCTACACGATCCGCCGGTCGGGTCCCTAAGATACCACTAATGCTTGGCACGAACCTGAAGGAGGCTGACATCTTCACCATGATGAGGCCCCCACAGCCAGTGAATGCCTTCGTTGCAGCAACCTTTCCTGGCGATACAGCATTGCAACAGGCGGTTGTCTCTGCATACCCTGTTGGAGCAGGTACTCCATTCGCAACGGAAAAGGATGCCATAACTCAGATAGCTACGGACCTGGATTGGACTTGCAGCATTAGCCATGAGGCTCGTATATCCGCGCAGGCAGGCGTTCCAACCTGGAGATACCTGTTCAACTCCACCTCCTTCCCTCCAACTCCCGGAGGGATACTATCACGCCCGGTGCACGGCTCCGAGATCAGCTTCGTATTTGGAAACTTACCTCCACCCCCGGCGACGCCCGATCAGGCAGCTGCGCTGAGCAAATTCATGCAGACAGCATGGGCTAACTTTGCGAAGAATCCTGCCAGCGGACCAGGTGTTCAAACTTGGACACCGCACACCGGTATGCCCGGAGCGATGGACTTGGCTAATCTGGGTGGAGTTGTTGGGAATGGGGTAGCCATGGTAGACCCGCGCACCGTTGACAGTCGATGCAACCTCTTCGATAAGGCGTACGCTGCCGCCATGACGCCGTCTTGAAGTTATATAATCAATCAACCGCTTGAATTCCAAGCAATGTCTCTTTCGAGAAGTGAACACCTTTACAACACGAAATTGTGCTAAGACTGTAGCAGAGTTCCCAGCAGCAGTTCAATCACTTTACAGCCATGTCGAAAGAGAAGTACTTTGTGGGGTTGGGTCTACAACGCCTGTACATGACACTTTCCCGTCCTTGAGGGCGTGATAAAGATCAGAGAAGCGACAGGCCACCACGCAGGGTAGTCTAGCTGGAGTGGTCGGCACACAACGCAATTGATAATGTTTAGCATTTCACCTTGTGTTATTTCTAGTGCGTAGATGGAGTATTCACTTCGAAATTAGTGCGAAGACACCGCACTCACAGCGACTACTGACCAGACCTTCTTTCTCTGGAACCATCAGGATGATCATTCAGTAACTATCGTGCAAAATATACTGCTACTTGCCTTGCTAACTCCCGACCCCACTTCAAACCACGGAAAAATTCATCTTAGTTGTCCTTGCCCAAGGTCAAGATTACTTAGCACAGCTGAGTGCCTGAAGCACCCCATGAAGTTTGCTTCCAAGCCTCTTCCAAAGAGGACCCGCGTGAATGCCCTTCCAGACACGCTGGCAATCGCCAGAAGAAAAGCCTCCCGGCGCCTGTACCGCGGACAGTCCCGCCTGCAGGTCCTCGGCATGTTCCAACAGCTTCTTCTCGAAACGTCTTGGAATATCCAATCAATGAAGAACGAATGCAATGCAAGTCGTCTCCAGACTCCAGACCGTGCTTTTCAAGGAACAAGTCGTCATCTTCCTCTTCCAGAAGGCGGAGGTGCACGAGAATCAAATCTTTCAACTCGACAAGTACACCACAATCGGCACAGGATGGATACAGCTGACGTTCGGCCTCCGAGAAGTCGCGGCACAGAGCATGACCGGGACTGTTGGTGTGCGGCCCGCAACGCCCATACGCGTGGTTCAGCTTGGCATGCCAAATTGTACGGACGCAGAACTTGTCGTCCGAAACGACAGAGCAACCGTGCCCGAGCTCGCAGGCTCGATGAGCGGGGTCCGCGATCGCCCACTGCGGGGTGTCCTTGAACTTGGCTAGATTTGCCATCGTTGGGAGAACCTTGGCAACACAGTATTCACCACAATCGCTGTGGCAGGGGACGTTGCTGTGCAGGTGGGCTACTTCGATGATGTGACGAGCCATGCTGAAGTTCGACGTACGTGATGAATTGAAAAATAATCTTCAGAAGCCCTGGTGAAATCAGATCCGTGGAGATATTCGTCTAATAACGAAGTACCAATGCGGGATTATGAGCCTTGCGGAAGGCTTGGTTTTTGAAGTTGGTGATGGCAGATGAAGAAGCACTGCGTTCGAGGGCAGGCAACAATCTCACTTTATACGAGAAGAGATCCCCCGCGGCAGAGGGTCATCACATGACTGGTGTCGATATCATTTGGGTCCCTTTGCCGTAATCCATACCATGTCTCGACCGCCCGGAGACGCATGAGTGTTTATTACCAGGGTTTGGATAAAAACGCCGAGAAGGGAATCCTCGTCGTTCGGACATACCTCGTATGTTTGCCGTTTCTTGGGGTCTTCAAGTTGCCAAGCAAATCGCGGCGGTCACTTGGACGCGAGCTTGTTCTTCTCCTACGTACGTAACAGAGGGCCATGGTGGTGTGGAGCGAGACCAAGCCGCGATGAGATGCTGATGGAGGAGATATCCAAGCCGTTCAAGTGGCTCTAGCGCCAGCGCATGTTGTCCAAACCAGGGGCATTTTGGTCTACGTTTGGCGGGGGCTGCATTTCACATCCCAGCGAGTACCACCCTTGCCTAGCACAACCATCGGGGCGGGCTCCGAACGCCGAAACTCCCTTGTCATCCAAATAGACACACGACATTGAGGTATGGACCTGGAAGCTTGGGATCCAACGAACGTTCAAATCGATGAGATAACTCCAAACCCTCCCACAGGTGTGTTAATGGCTCGAGTGATTCGTAGACAGGTGACTCATCGAAAGCTGGTCAAGTGCCGCATTAAACTCCCTGGGCACGTTTCAACAGTTTCCGTATAGCTGAAAGCCCACAAAACGGAGTTCCTCGTAGACTACTCTTTGCAATTGTGAGCATTATTCTAGTTACCTCACGTGAACATGAGCAGAACCTGACATCATGCAACCGTGCCTGTGCAAGTCTATCGCCTGATTGCAGATGCCACTTTAATTACGAGGCGGCAGGCAAATGCAACGACAAATGCGCCGTCTGTCCATCAGCTAGCTCACAAATTCCATTTCATGCGCCGCGGGCCACGACACGTTGACACCGTCACTGGAGGCTTGTGATAGGTGCTCCACTCGGATGCAGACGAGCCAAAGAGGGTACCTCCAACGCTGACCACCCTGCAAGGTTATGTTATGTTGTCTCTTAGCTGAAGTAGTTGGTCACGGATGCCGACGATGGTAGAAGGTCTTGCCAAAAGAAAGCGTCTCCCGGCTGGTGAGACGAGAAAAAGGATCCGTTACTTCGACCGATCCTGGTCGAAAGTGGCGCTGATAAGGTACGGATACACGACATGATTCCGGCCAAAAGTGACACTTGCTGCAGGTGATATGTCATATCCCAATAGATATTACGCGGGGGTGTGGTGGTAACCATTGCTGCGGATACTGGCTGTTGAGGCCTGCTGCCGGCCGAGAGAGCATGCAGATACTTCCTCTTGCCCATCCTACTTAGTGCGGATCAGTGCTCATAACAAAGAGGCCAGTTGAAGTTTTCTGACGAAACGCTCCAACGTCAGTCGTAATCTGAACCGTAATCTTGCGGAGGCACTTTTGATGAGTTATGCGAAATCGCATTCACAAAGAGAGTTGTTCGCAGTACGGAAGAAAAATGACATGGGAATTCACAGCACAATCACAGTGGTAGGGATCATGTAGGTTCTGATCTAGTGTTGTTATCTCTTCTCACTAGCACATATCTAAACAACAGCCAGCACTCTTGACGCCAGTCCGTAGAGACACTTAGTACCCATGCACGAAATTGAAATGAAACCATAATTTATCGAATCACGGCGCTGAACTCTAGGGGTTTGTGACCATTCAGAATTCAGGATGGGCCTCTCTTGGTGTGCCCATAATCGGCGTTGATGTTATGACGCCAGCCCGGGCCGCGGGGGTGGAAACCCCGGCTGCAGGTATCATCACTCAACCCAAAAGGCCCATCTGCATATGCTCCCTGCAGGAAACCGTTGGAACAGTGACGGAACAGTAGAAGGCGGCACGCAGCATGCAACGCGCTGCTTTTGGAACATAGATCTTTGCATCGGCACCCACGTCCGGGCTTGGCTCACTCCGATTCGTGTTCCGGCCACCAGACCCCAGCGAGATTGACGTGAGGGGGTCGAAAAAGATGATGGAAATCACAGGTATTTCTGGAGTGTCAAAGTGTGAGTCGCAGTGGAGGGAACCGTTGGAATGGGGCGCCCCATCTGCGCAATTTTCTGTCCCCGAAGGTCTGGGTACTGAACCCGCGACTAGCCTTGAACTTGGTTTAATAAAAATGCTTCAGTTGGATTTTGCAAACGGGCGGCTAGAGCTTGATCACTGCTTCATCGATGCCTAATTCAGATTCTTCCCTGGCTCCGGGCGTGAAGAAGTCTTAATTGAGGTCGGACATGTCAGCATCCAGTGTCTCCTGAGGTCAGCAAATGAGCAATAGATAGCTTGGACTCTAGTTGCAGTATCGACGAGCTGTCCGTGATGTCTGGATAGTGGGGTCTAAGACAAGGGTCAAATGACGCGAAAAGACGCAATGGGAATATGGAGGGGGTGCAGTCTCGAAATTAAGACAAAGAGGTCAACATCGTGAGGCTTAGTCGGGCACAGATACATTCGAGCCCCCTGAACAGCTGTTCTCTCGGTCTATTCTACTTCCCGATGTCTCTCGGAAACACCGACTTTTGATCGTCTCAATCGTCTGAGTGGAGAGGACGAAGTGACGGGTCATATATGCGTTGTCAAATTCCTTTGTGGGGTCCTGTGGGTCTCACACATCGCCAAGGCCTCGGAAGATTGATCCCAAAGGCCCCCTTTGCACCGGAACCAACCACGGACGGTTTTTTTCTTTTTCGTGTTTTCCACGGTTGATTTTGGTCTTGGTGTCGTTCCGGTCTGCCTTGACCGGAGAGCAAGGATATTTCCTGCCCATGCATGCTGCAACGAGTGCCGCGACCCTCACCTTGTTGCCTGCCGGCTTTCGTTACCAGCGATAAGCTCCTCCACGGCGGCCAGGCGCACTCCGCCTGCTAGGATGTGAGAGATAGAGCAGGGATTATATGGGCATCCTGCACCACTTGAGTAGAGCGCCGCGGAATTTGTTTTTCCTGCCATCGCGCTGATTCCCCTTTCTCCTCTAGCAGAAGCGACAACAAGACTAGCAGGGTTGACCACGCCAAACGGTTCCAGACACGCAGAATGACGCTGGCAACTAGATTCCCAAGTTTCGACTGATGTTGTCTCCGTGGCGTCTACCGTGACACAAGCGCATGTCCTTTTGACATCAGTTGTGGTACACACCTACAAGAGAAGGGGGGCTGAGTGACTGCACCTGGCCGAGGCATTTCCCCGCAATCTCGATCAGCAAGATCTCACTCACATGGTCATCGGCACTCATGGACGTTGCACCAGCACTCGAAGGTATGGGAGCCGAAGACACATTGGTGTCGCCAAGTACTCAAGACTGGTTTGTTGTATGGAGTTGGCTGGGTGGCCGTGGCTTGACTTGTGGCTGTGTGTTTTCGGCAAAGACGTCTTCGGAATGCTCATTCTGGAATGAATCAAGTGACATGCATGAAACGGCCAGCGACGGGAATTCACGCTTGGCCCCAGAACCGTTCAAGGTGTTGGATGGAAGCAAAGGTCACACTCGTATTGCCTAGAATCAACATCCTCAATAATTGACAATCTACGCACTCAGTTCTACTATTCATCCTCACCCTAATGCAAAACACTCATCAACCCAAGCAGCTCGTCACAAAGAAGTTTTGAACGCATCGAAAGCCTCGTTCTCGGCAAGCAGATCAGCATACGCTTTCTCGGCCGCCTCAAGCTCGGCTTTTTTGGCGTTGACAACGACTCTGTGGTGGTCCATCTCCTCCTGTGCCACTCTCTGTGCCTTCTTGGCCTTTGCAGCTTCTGTCTCCATGGCCACGGCCTCGGCCTCAACGCGGTGGTTGAGGAGCTCGAAGATGGTGCGGCAAGACTCCTGCACGACTTGTCTGTGTGCGTCAGGGGCAATGACCGTTGACGGGGCACCCTTGCTGTTGCCGAGGAGAGCAGCATACTTTTTGCGAATCTTGAAGATGTCGTTCTGAAAAGCTCGAAAGCCCTCGAGCTCCGTGAGCTTCTCGGACTCGGCCGGCAAACTAGCAAGGGTGCGGGCGGCCTCCTGCTCGTGTCTCTCAGCCATCTGCTGCTCGAAGCGAGTCTTCTTGACAGTGGCCGACGCAATGTCAACCTCCAGACGAACGCGCTTTCTCTGGCTCTCCAACTCCTCGTGAAGACATGCCATCATGGCGTCTCTCTTGCGCTTGAAGCCGTCTGCAGCTGTCGTTTCGTTCGAAGGGGAGCATGCTGGAGTGCTCAGACCAAGTCTGCCAGAGCCTCTGGGGAACGATGCGGTTGACACAGATTTCGGGGTCACCGGCGCAGGATACCTGACTGGGCGGTGATCGGCGATGCCGGGAGAAGGGCTCGTGTCTGCCTGGGACTGGTGGCAACTAGTCAGCTGTTGTTCCCATCAGAGTACACTGTACTGATGCCACCATCTGGATGGATGATAACGTACCTTGGGGGACGGAGTGCGAGCAGGTGGCAAGGTAGGGGTGAGAGCTGGCAACATCCTCCGCTCAGGTTTGCAGCTGTCAGTGTCTCGACCGCCCTAAGCCGCAAAGCTATTAGCAAGGCCGAATCTCCAGAAACCATGGTTGATATTTGGATCTGAGAAGGGACATACCTGAGTCTTTAGAACATTGTCGACATCCATTGCGGAAAGGAATGGGCGGTGCAGGAAACCGTTTGACGGAGTATTGCCGACTCGGTGCGTGATCTCGTTCCTGAGCAGACCGCGGACGTCGGTATGGCTGAGACTGTGTGTGCAAAGCAGGTCCAACCTTTTGAGCAAGCTCAAACTCCACAACGAGGGCGACAGAGAGCTGCCGACGACGTCGTCCAAGCTGGAGATCTTCCACGTCTTTAAGATTCTTTCGGTGCATTCAGCCTTTTCGGCATCGGTGCTGGACGGCGTTTGCATTGTGGGGACCCGTCTCGAGAGCGATTGGCTGATTGCGAAGAGCCAGCGGAATGGTCCGTGGGAGATGCTCATGGAATCTGATTGAGGTGTTCGCTCTGGCGGGAAAGGGTGGACGGTGATTACGGCGAGGAGAAGCCTAAAGCAAAGCTTCGGAAGTGCTGGACATCACGGGGTTGAAGAACAACAGCCGGATATTGGAAGGGTGATGTATCTTATCTATGCGTGGTGATCAAAAACGACTTCATCCGGTGGCCTAGCATTTCATTATTGAGGAAGATACCTTGTCTGGGTTACTCAAAGGGACGCGTTTCGCGTTGGCGCCTGGCTTGAGGCCACTGAGAAACACTTGCGTGCATCAATGGATTCCAACGAAACCACCAGGACCTTTGCAGTTGACATATAATCTAGGTCTTAATCTTAGAAAGGACGGGGCATGCGAACCTGCGTCCGTTTGGAGGTAGGGATCTGCCCTGTTTTCGAGCGAGACCCCTAGGGGGCGAGGCTTTTTGAGAAAGGCATCCCCCAACACGGGTCCTAGACCGTCTTCTTCAACAGAGTAGAAAGAGTGACGGCGGGGGAAGCAACAGACCCTATTGCGTCAGCGGCCGGGTGGCCCACCGCATGGCCGGTCGCTTTTCTCGGAAGAGTGGGGCCGGCCGCAAAGCCGCAAGTGATCGGCGGCCGCCGATGTCCCGGCTTTATTAGCATGAGAATGGAAAGCCCACGCCAGTATGCCGACCGCATACGGGGATCTGTGGCCTGAGATTGAAACGTTTGGACCGTGTGGCTGGCTGATGGGTGTCAGGGTTGAGAAAGCATCGGCGATCCCAGCCTTTGGTGTCTCGGATGTTGTCCCGCTCTTCCGCACCTCTCTGCCGTAACGCAGGTTGGGTACTTTGGGGGCGGCAGCGGCTCAGTCACCGCCAGACGGGGTTTATGATACCCTAATGCCTGCTCAGTATGCATGGGGGAGACATCAAGTGGGCACAGCGCTAAATGGGCCGGAGCACCCGATGAGCGGTTCGCTGACAGGCGCTTGTGGGAGGGAAGCCCCAGCGACTAGTTAGGTTGCATGTTCCAGCAACGTCTTCCTGTCGTCGCCGGCGATGTTCCTCTGCTGTTTGGGAGCAAACAGAATGACTGCAACAAGTCTCACTCCCTGCCCAACAAATGCGCTGCAACCGTGATTGGACGCCACAGAGAAAAGGGCCCAGCACACTCATCTACTTACCGAAACACCCCAAGCACAGCTGAGCAGCAAAAAGAAACGACGCTTTCCGACGGCCTCCCCCCGGGCCTCCAAAAGCAAGTTGAGCCACCATCATCACCACCACACCATCACCACCAGCACCACCCACCCACCCACCACGAAGAAAAAGCCACGCCGCGAGGAGGAAAGGCGCAAGAGATAACGCCTCGGGGCACTTTGGAGGAGGCAACCACAGCTGATGTATGTAGATAAATGTACATAGGTATCCATGGATGCGTTGCCTCCGTTGCATTCCATCCCGCGGCGGAGTCAATCTCGCTGCTGACCCCGCACCCAGTTCTACCTTAGTTCCCCCCCCCCCCCCCCCCCCCCCNTTTCCCCCCCCCCCCCCCTTGTCCCTTGATTGAAGCTCCCCCCGACGCCGTCAAGCCATCTCTTCCCAGTCATCCCATTTCCATCTGCGGAAATAGGTATGACAGGGAGGGCTGTTGACCGCGGGACCGGCCCGGACCTCGAATCGGCCGTCATCCTGCACATCGGTCACCAGGCGAGCGGATGAGGTCCCCCATCCCCTCCACCCCCTGCACGCCAATCCTCCGCCGATGCTCGTTACTGGCTCGCCGAGGCCCCCCCCGATGCAGACGGGATGGTCATTCGCAAAAACGTATCGCTACATGTTTAGCAATGTCTCATTCGCTTCTGCCCGTCGACCGTCCTTCTTTTTTTTTTCTGCCCCTTCCTTTTCTCTTCCTCGTGAATCGAGGGCTCTGCCATTTTCCCCCTTCCTCCTTTCTTCCCTTCTCTCACTCTCTTCCGAGCTCGAGGATGCGGCATCCGTCTTCTGGGGGAGACAACACCGTCGCTATCGGGCACCGCCAAGCTTTCCTCCTTTTCCTCGTCGTCGTCGTCGTCGTCGTCGCATGCGACAGGTAATTACTTTTCACCATAAAAAGGTCCTCCCGTCAGCATGACCACGAGCCGCCAGACTGCATTACCGCCGCGCACGACCTAGATGTCCTCGTCATCACCCATGCTCACCATCCCGCATCACCCCGCGCGCTCCGCCAAAGATGCCGCCGCCGCCCCCGCTGCCGTCTCCATCGAGCCGCCGTGTCCCAGCTGCACCCTGCGCTCGCGCCAGACACAGCCCTACACCACGCCCACCCCGGGCCACCCAGACTACTGGATCGAGAAGCTTATCCACCTCGTGCTCGACACCGTCCCTGGAATGGACGAGAAGATGACCGAGAGACACGCGGAGCGGAACCAGATCCTGCGACTCGTAAGGACTTTTTGCGGCGTCGAGGTCGGGACGAGACTATGTCCTCACTGTTGGCAGTCGAGTCCGGAATGGGAGGCCAGGATCTAGTCGGCGCACGAGTAGGCACCATGGCCAAAGACCATCATGAGAGGTTGAGAGCTGACCATGGTCGTGTGGCAGTTTCGAACGAAGAAGAAGGCGAGGCATCAGACCACCGAGACGTGGCTTTCGTACAGTGTACACAAATCTCCAATTAGGCGAGCAATACCCGGAAACGAATGCATGCACAGCTATCTGCCTCTGCGACCGACACAAAGACTCAGCATCGATTCAAGGACCGAGTGGTGGCGTGCTGTGGTAATCAGTCATGATGGGAAACGGAAGTTGGAAAACAGCACGAACAGTGCAACGAGCAGGGATGCGTCAGGTGTCCCCTCATCCTCGCTCCTGCCTCGGTGCCCCTGTGATACCGCCAGCAAATAGAGAAAGGGCCTCTGCGTAGATAGAATCGTGACGGAAGGTAGTGCTCTGCCATGCATCGACCATGAACTCCAGATAGGGCGGCACGTAATTAGGTATCGGGTTCCTTCACCGCTCTGCCCAGTGCCATTCGCGCATCTCCTCGGGCATCTTGTCAAGTCATCAATCTCTGATCTGAAGGATTTTTGTCGAACCGAGACTGCACACAATCGTGTCTTGAAGCTATCTAGAAGTCTTGTCCGTTCAACATCCGCTCAGTACGATTCTCCAACAGGCGTGGGACTCTCCAAGGGCTCTCACTCATTGCCCAAATAGCCCGAGTACAAGTTGTCGCAAGCTAGCAATTCCATCTTCAACTTCGATCCCGAGTCTCAAGAGCACCTCAGTATCTCTTCTCAACCAGGCCCGAGAGGTCCTCCATCCCTCTTGCCACCACTCCCACCAGCCGCTGCATCTCAGCTTCGTCCGTCAGACGTGCCACATCTGCTCTCATAGCCTCAACGGCGGTAGACAGTGCCTCAACCTGCTCCTGTGCTTCTCCCTCCAAGACCTCTCGTGTGCGCTCTGCCGTAGCAAGCAGCGATGCCCAAGCGCCGCCACTCGATCTTTCGATGCCGATCCCGTCTCCTTCGTCTTGGCCAGGGGCCGCAGCTGCTATGAGCTTGTCGATGGCCTCAATCTGCTGGTGAGTCTTGTCGTGCCTTGTCTGAGCAAGTGCCAATTTCTGTTCCAAACGGCGAAGTTCCTCCTCGCAATTTCCCAGGTCTCTCATCTTGTCTCCGGTATTCTGCTTCTTTTCTGTGGTCGCAAAGGTAGACCACCGAGCGAATGCCTCGTTGAATGCTTCTCTGGCGTAGGTGTTCTCGACGCTCATGCTTGCTCGATCCCACTGCGTCGGTGAAGTACTTTCCTGGTCCGATCCAGCTGTAGTAAGCCTTCGCCGTCTTGCCCTTCGTGGCAACCTCGAATCCGGCGACTGGTTCGCTGATGAGGCTTCGACTTGATCAAACCGTCTCTTCGACGAGCTGTGCTGGGGTGTGTCGATTTGGATGTCGGAACCGCCTGGCGAAGGGCTCATGAATCGGCTCATGGACTGGAGGGTCTGCACGGGTGATGGTGGGATGAGATTTCTGATATCCGCGGTCGGCGAATCGATTGATTCGGCCTTGACCTTCGTTGCGGACGTGACAGGTCGCGACATGTCGCTGTACGGGCGAGGAGTCTTGGGGCGAGAGCTGGATCTGGTGACTCTCAGAGTAAGATGGGCCCTCTCGTCATAGGTTGAGTCGGAGTAGCACCCGGATTCGGACTCGGACTCGGATTCCGACTTGATCTTCTCTTCGGCGACGAAGCTGGTGCTGTGAACAACTTCGCTGGCCGAGATTTGACTCGAACCGTCTTGGAGGTCGACAAATGCATCGACGCGGGATGAATCCGATTGTCTGCGAGCGTTGCTGTACTCGTCGGCGATTCCAAGGCTGCGATTGACTTTTCTCAAGATGCTGTGGGTGAGCCTTGCGGGCTCTCTCCCCGTGACGGCCTCGAAAAGCCAACCTCCTGCGGCCCACAGTGTCGTCAGCGGGATGCCGTTGTCCTCGGCATGTTTCGTGATTTGGTAGAAGCAGTGAATCCACCGGCGGTGGATGGTGTCGAATCTTCTCTTGGAAGATCCTGGTCGGTACTTGCTGGGGAACATTGCGTCAAATGATCCCCAAGCCTCCTCGAGGTAGGCGCGGCGGTATCTCGACTTTCTTTCTCCGGGCATCTGCATGTTGAAGGGTTGGATTGGCCTGACGACCAGACAGTCCGTTCCAAAAATGAGTAGAGAGCGAAGAAGGCCGAGTCAAGGTAGCTTACCGAGTCCGTCGAAGAAGTTGCTTTAGTTGCTCCCAAGCTCACGAAGTGCTGCAAACCGAGAAGCGAAAGGTGGAATCTGGAAAACCGTAAGGCAAATGGAAAGAGAGCAAGGAAGCCGGTTGCGTTGGCAGAGGACGCGATCTGGTGAGGTAGGTGGGAAGTTTCGATTAAGCCCCGCGGCCGCCGTTAGAGTCCGAGAAGAGTCGAGACAAAGGTTTTCTGGGGGTGACATTCGGTGCTGGATAGCGACCTACGTCAGGCAATTGCGACGGGTTGATCGCGGCTGCCAGAAGAAGGGCCAGGACTCCAGGACTCCAGGACTCCAGTATTTTTGGGCTGAAGGTCTTGCAGAATGGCAGGTACTTGTCGCAACTCCAATTTACTCAAAATTTGGCAGAGAAAAGAGAATCAGCAAGAAATTCAGTTTGAAGAACTGATGACAGGATTGATTCCCAAAAGAAGGAGGTTTCTTAGATGGCGCTACTTTCTCTGCAAGGAATTTATTTACACCAGATTCCAATCCACACAGCAGCATGACTATTAGATTTCAACTCAAAATGGCAACGCTAGAAACTACAGAAAAGGATCTCTTTCGAAAACATAGAGGTTTCGCCTCCATCACAAACGCCGCAGCCTAATCCCGCTCAGTGTGACGAAAGCTTCAAAGGTTGGGTGACTTTCCCTGGACATGAGAACAAAAAGACGGACTCCTCGGCTTGAAAAAGGCTGCCAGTACTCTACAAAGCGGTGACCGAGATCCGCCTCAATCATGCTCAATTTCGGTATGCCAGGGCCAGTCATTGAAAAAGTGCCGTCAGGAGCTGGCTGCACATTCTGGAGTAGTAGGGGTAGGTCGAACCTGTCCACCACCAACGAAATATCTCGGAGACTGCTAAATGTAGACAAGGGCTGGTTGCTGGTGGTTCCGCGGGCAAGCGTCCTTGAAAAGCACGAGGCGTCCATCTCGAGATGATGGACAGTTGTGAGTAGTTCCCCTGGGTGGATCAGTGGTACCGATGGGTTAACCAATGGAAAAGGTGCCGGGGTAAATATAGACCATCCCGGATTAAAAGTGTCGACCGTTGGAAGCACCACTGCGACTGAGTTTCGGCCCCAATTTCCAATGAATGAAAGGCGCCCAAATCGTCTCTGAACAAGCCTATTGAAAAGTTTGCAGGCTAGGAGAGGTCCGTGGATCATCAACATTCGCCGTCTGACCTCCCCCAACTGAGGCAAAACAAGATTGCTGAAAGTGCTCAGCGGCGCTTGGCCGGTGGTTCTGACGTTTCTCATGTCATACTCTACAGGCCATCTAACTGGCACCGCTGCTTCCTCGACTAAATCAATCATGGCATGGACGATGAGAATCGCGATCTCCAAGGGAAAGTCTCGGGGGCCCAATCTGCCGGCAGTGTTGTTTAGTTGAAGGCACTGACGGTAGAATATCCGGGATGATCTTCGGAGGACGCCATTGTTAGGCATTTTTGTTGCTTTTGGTGAGATACAGTGTATGTTTAGCGATTTTCTTTTTATACGATGCTCTGACGGCTGGGGCTGGTTGGTTTCAACAATGGCTCCGCTGGGTAAAGTAGGCCTGCTACACGGTAGTCTGGGAGCTGGGATGGGGCGCGAACGAATCAGAAACTTGAAGACCTATCTCAATAATTGCGATGGTATGACGATGCTGATGATGACTGCAGTAGTCTCTGGGTGTTCTCGGGTTCTTTACGGTATCATGATCAACTGCAACTTATGTATGTCCCTCGGATGGTGGGCAACCCAGCGAAATACCAAGACAGGGTTGACACAATGGATTGTTTCTATCAAAGAGTGCACTGATGTGTTATCGCAAACCACATGTTTCCGCTCAGCACATATGAGTGAAAGAGACTTGATCTCTGCCTACCACTTGCTTCTGCCCTTGACGTCGCACGCTTCCTGTGGAACAAAGGTGACCAATTGGCATCCCGAGGATACTTGAATCCAAATGTGCGGGCGAATAACGTTGCTCGCAGGCAAATGAAGGTTGCAGGATTCTTTCGGGAAGGCATATCCTCAACGCTCAGCTTGCTCGAGGAAACCAGACCAACCCTTTCGAAGGACACGCATTTGTCGATTGCAAAAGGTTGCCTCTTTCCTCCAGACATAACGCTATTCGCCCTCCCAAAATAAAACCTTGTTCTGGTTATCGACCAAGATGGCCATGGACGGCCAAGTCATGCGGACCTGGGGATCCGGCTGTGAGGTCCCTCTTTGGCTGAGTTGGGAGCCTAACACTGTGTTTGGGGCGACCTTTGCGACCACCCTCACAGTGCTTTCTCCGCTCCAAACAGTGCAGACCTTTTCAACAGCAGGTGCCGTCGACAGCTCCTTCTCTTTCAATCACCATCCCACTACTCAATCTTCTCGACCTGTTCAACTCTCGATCAACTTTCTATTCTCATTCCCTCAATTCCACTTCACTATCTACCACCTTCTCTCGACCCACAAGTCACGACCGCTGTCATGTCGAACAACTCTCTCCATCTCGTCGACCTCAGCCGCAACTCTTGCGTTGGCGCGGAGCAGGAAGATGACTTTGTCTTCTTCGACCGACCTGACACTGCCATGGACTGGGATATCGTCGATGCTCAGAGCAATGAGTATGTCCCCTAGAACAATTTGCCTGGAGCTAGTGTACTAATCATGAGTCCCGCCAGTGCCGAGGACATTTGCCAGGACAGCGGCTTCGGTGGCGGCCAGAGCTGCGGGGAGCTTAACGCCGAGCCTGAGATGGAGAAGAAGTGAGTCGTTCCCCTGCATCTAACCTTTTCTCCAGTACGAAACCCCTTTCTGTCAAGTGCCCAACGACTAACTACCCACGGGCCACCAGCAATGAATTCTGGACAACCTGTGAGACCTGCAGAGTTGCCTCGTGGAACAACGGCGTCCAGTGCTGCAATAATGAAGATGGCACCTGGATCACGGAGATGGAAACCGACCTTGACGACTTATCTATTCACTCTGGCCTTTGGCATGCCACGAAGTGCGTCAATACACCGTCGCCAGCCGCCGATCCCAACCATGAGTACTCCGAGCTCCTTGGTGCTACCGAAGGTGCAAAGAGCACCGCCACTAGACCCTCGATCCCCCTCTTCTTCCTAGAGAAATGCGAGTTGGACAACGCTCAACCGTTTTATGCCGGCAACGACGTCATGCACACCGAGCAGGCCGCGACCAAGGACAAGTCTCCCTCTCCAAGCAGAATCCCACGCTTGATGAAGACCATCAGCCTGTCGAGCAACACCGATGTCTCGTCCAATATTCTGGGAGAATCCAAGACTTGCTTGTACTCATACTTTGCCGGACATCGGGCGCTTCGTTGGGCGCTTCCTCCTCCATCTGGCGGAAGGGCTACGTATAGAAGGTGCGAGGCCTGTTTCTGAAAGCCATCTCCGGAACTACAAGTCAGCTGAGGGCGCAGGAAGCTTGCCTCTTTTAAGTGATCGGAACTTTTCCCTATGATTCTTGTCTGGAATCAAATATGCGAATATTGGTACGGCACTGTCAGGGTTTACGAATGATTTGGTGTTTTATTTGCTACGGTTGGGGTCTTGGGTGCATGGCTACGTTATGGATTGTGAGATATCAACTTAGTGATCTGTGGGCAAGTTGGTTGTGTTATTAGTCTGTTTCATTAGTCTGTTTCCTACAGGCTGAATGGTTTAGAGGAGAATCTACCTTGCTATCTAGATAGAATTAATAGGGACTTATCTCTAACTAGGCTTCAAACTATCTATAGATATCTATATAGGTATATACCTATATAATCTATAGGTATAGAGAGGTACCTAGGTAAGTACTAAGTAGGTATAGGTAATAAGTAAAGCTTTTTTATTTAGGTATTAAATATATAAGTAGAGTAGAGATTATAATTTAGGTTTTAAATAATAGTTTATATTATTAATATAATATATTAAGAGAGGGTTAGAGAGAAATTAAAATTTAAATTAAAATATTAAAATTATATAAGAAATAAATTATATTATTATNTTACTAATTTCTAATAATAGGAAATCGCTATAATTTATTTCCTCTATAATCCTTTAGCTATTTAACTACCCTCTTATTTTCTAACTACTTCTTAGTAATAATAATAGGGAGCTTCTTTAAGCTTATAAACCTTATTATAATACCTATAAACTAAATAATAATATTTAAAAAGCTTAGTTTAGCTTATCTATAAAGTTTAAGATTTAGTTAAATAGTTTAATAAATTCTAAATCTAAAGACTTTAATTCTACTAAATCTTAAGTATTATTATAATCACTTAAAGTATTAATAATATTTTAGGTATACTTAATAATAAGTCTATAAATAATAGTATAGAAATCCTTAATATTAAGAACTCTATATTTAAATATTTAATAGATTAATATATTTTAGTCTTTATCTAATTTATTAAGTATAATATCCTTTAGAATAATAAGCTCTAAATAAGAGAATAAAAACTAATCTTAATACTTATTATAGATCGTAAGAAGGAGTTAATAGAAAATTATTTTAGATTTTATATTAAAGTATATATAATAATAGATATATTAATTAAAGTTAAATACTTATTTAAGAGGGATAGAACTTAAGATAATATAAAGATAATTATAAACTATATTATAGAGACTATAATATTTTAGATCTATTTCTAGCTTTTTCTAGAAGTTTTAAATTATTTACTTAGAGGATAAGTTTTATATNGATTTAGTAGTACTTCTAAAAAGAATAATAGTATAATATTTACACTTTATTAAGAAATCACAAATAATATTATATCTATTTTAAGATAAAGATTCTATTTACTTCTAAAAATATTTATTAATATACTAAGTATTATAAAGTTATAATATTAATTATTATAATAAATTATTATAATTAAGA